CCCACCGTGCCCCAGGCTGGGGCTGGGGCAGCCAGCCCGACACAAACAAACTCCCATGGCAGGAGCACAGGTGGGACTCCAGAACCTGAGCATGGCTGCTTTGCTGTGCAGGCAAGGAACGGCTTGGGCTGCTCCACTCCCCTGCTTTGCTTTGGGATCACTGTGATTTTGGGGGACAGTGCAGGGGGGAAGGGAGAAAGCATGGGCTTCCCTCACCCATGGGTGGGTTTTTCCCTAGAATGGAGGGGTTGTGCCTTCCTCAAACTCCTGACAGACATAAGATTTTTTACCTTTTTTCTTCTTTCCCCTTTTTGTCTGTAACCTATTTTCATTAATTTGTTGTTTGTTTTTCTAAAGGAAGCATTCTAGGTGGGGTCCAGTCTGGATGAGAATGTGCTTGGGACTAGCTGTGGCATGGATGGGCCGTGCCCTTGGAGAAGACTGAGGACATCGTCTGGGACCAGCTTTTCATCTGGCAGCGGATGGTGTGAGGTGGGTCCTCATCTCCTTGGCATGGGTGGGACAAGAGCTTTTGGGAGATGGCAGCGGGCACAGAAGCATCCTGCTCTGGGCAGCTGCTGAGGGGCTGGATCTGCCGTGGCTGGCTGCAGGCTGGGCACATGTCCTGCCCTCCTGCTCTGCTCCCCAAGGCAGCAGTGATGGGCAGCTTTGGGCCCAGCTCTGAGCACGGCCAGCATGGCCTGGGCACCGCGGCTGGCTGGGACAAGGGGACAGGAGCCTTCAGCTGACGGGCGGTTTCTGCTTTCTCTCCTTGCAGCGGGGCTCTGCGGATGCTGAGGCTGCTCTGGGCTCTGCCAGGGCTCTGCTGGGCTCAGCACCGGGCCGGGATCAGCCAAAGAAGAAACGCTGTGACCTGCAGCAGAGACTAGAGCATTTTGGCAATGCAGCTCAAGTCTGCAGAGTGTCCACCTCCAAGGGAAAACATGACACCTCCCAAAAATTAAACTTGTTCAATACCTTCTGAAATGAAATCCATCTGGGATGACCCCAAATGACATTTTTCATCTTGCTCAAGCTGTAGCTCAGCCCTTCTCTGAACAGTTCTCTCCCACACCTGCCTTTTACTTCACAACTGCTCCTTCCTTTCCCCCAGTGAGTTCCCAGCCCATCACAGTCTCCATCACACTGCAGCCTTCCTTGATGCCCCTCTCCATGAGGAAGTCCAAGCCCCAGTCTCAGGACTCATCCTGTCACTGGCTGAAGAGCAGCAATGTCTGTCTGTGCCAGGAGCTCTTAGATGTCACTGTATCCATGGACAGAAGGTCTGTCCTTGCAAAGGTTTCCATAATATCTTTGTACCCATGAGTATGGAATGAACACAGAGGGTGAAAGTGTCAGTCACGTTGTTGGCACACTCCTTCCTTTCCATACAAGACACATCCATGCACACCCCCACATACAGATATATTAAAAGGATCGGGATGGATAGAGAGTTCCCACAGAGCTCTAAGTTTGGCATAACTCACCTTGTAAGCCATGGCCAGGGGATTTTTTTCCCAGCTCTGTGTGAGTAGGTGTCCAAGAGCTGAAGGAACAGCATTTAGAAGCAGTTTCAGGATTTCTAGGCAGGAAAGGGAGCTGACAACCATTCACATAACTCACCATATTTGTCAGGATGGGCTGCTGGCTCTTTAGGAGTATGGCACAATGGAGATGTGAGAATTGGGATAATCTCAGCTCTCTGTGAATCTGTGCAAAGGTGGAGCAGCAGAAACACCTTGTGTCTTCTTTGGGGACACAAGGTCCAAGAAGCTGGGGGGGCAGGTGAAGTCCCATTTCATGACATCCCGGAGTGGCACAGGACAAAGCTCCAAGCACCCACAGCCCCACTGAGGAAGTCCTTGGAGTGCTGCACATCCCATAGGAAAAGCTGCATTCACTCAGTCCATTGGGATTTATCACTTCCATTTGCAGCACTTTAGGTCCAAGTTTCAAACTGCAAAATTTTTACACTCAAGACACAGTCATGAAGAACATGTATTTCAATTTCCTATTCCTTTAACTGCAGTGTAAAATATCTTAATATTGGAAACCATCCATCAAATCTGTAAAGGAAGGCAGCTAATGGATCCTTTCCACTAGCACGTGTACAAACTAGGTAACTAAAATCAAAGCTGAGTTCTCTTTTTCAAAAGATCAGTTACCTCTTTCTTACTCCAGTGTTATAGAAGATTTTTCACTACACATTTAGGGGTAATTTTTATCTTTCATATTTTTTTGTATTTTTTTTCCTTTGTTTGTTTTTGTTTTTGTTTTTTTTTACAGAAAACGTCCTAGAAAAGGCATGTCCTTTGCTCCTGGTTCCCATGTGGAGCAGCTCCCTTCCCGCTGGCTGAGCTGCTCAGGCAGAGCCCGGCAGCTCCTGGCCCTGCAGGGCTGAGGCTTTTCCCCATTGCTGGGCACAGACTGATGGAGCAGCACTGCTGAACACGGGGACACGCAGAGGGAGCAGAGCAGCTGCCTTGGCCCACCTGAAGCTCCAAGGCCAAACTCTGAGCAGGCACGGCTGCAAGAGACTCGCAGGCTCCCTGTTGGCTCTGCTGCCCCACTTGTGCCCGGCCCAGCTCTGCGTGAGGCAGAGGGAGAACAAGGGGCAGCTCCCTCCCAGCCCCAGCCCAGGGACCCCTCCAGCCCCGGGCCTTGGGGCACTGTCAGCACCCGCTGCTCCAGCCACGGCTTCTGCTGGCACTGCCAGCAACAACCAAACTGGGGCTGGTCCTGAGGGAGCAGCAGCAGTGCCTGGATCTGATCCCTCAGTCTGGGGCAGGCCCCTGGGGGAACAGAGGGCACAGCAAGAGGGACAAAACCAGTCAAGGTCAGAGACTGGGAAGAGCCAGAGCTGGGAGCAGGAACAGCTGCTTCATTGAATCCTGGAGAAAGCTCTTGGCTGGTTCAAAGCACTGAAAGTGTGAAGAGCAGAGAAGAGGCCACACCAAAAAATGCTCCTGTTTTCACATTTCCCCTCTCCATGTCCCAGAAGGAATTGGATGAACTTATTCTTCTCTCCCAGTTGTCTCCTTCAGCTTGAGCAGCTCAGCACCAGGAGCTGAACGAGCTGAAGCCTCAGGCCACAAGAGCTGAGCAAGAGGGGGCTTTTGGACTAAAGTAATGCTGCTAAGTAATGGACCTAGCTGAATGCAGCAGATAGAATCCTGGTATTATAG